GTGCAGTGTCAGTGTACAGTAGTGTGCAGGAGGAGTGTGTGTATTAACCCCTCTCTCTCTCAGTGCAGTGTCAGTGTACAGTAGTGTGCAGGAGGAGTGTGTGTATTAACCCCTCTCTCTCTCTCAGTGCAGTGTCAGTGTACAGTAGTGTGCAGGAGGAGTGTGTGTATTAACCCCTCTCTCTCTCTCAGTGCAGTGTCAGTGTGCAGGAGGAGTTTGTGGTAACATTGGGTTAAGATATTAATTGGTACATTTCCTGTACATCTGACTAGGATTATTTTATACAGAGCAGGACCAAGACAGGGGAAAAAAACACATCAAGCCTGACCTGCATAAAAAAATTGGTTAAAAACTGTTAAAAAACTAAAAATGCCTAATAAAAAATAAAAATAAAAGCAATATAAAAATCAGGGGAGTCTCTGTAAGTGTTGACAGACCTGCCTTGGTAGAAGGAGCACCAGGGCAGCTCAGAGTTTAGGAAGAAGGAATGTTTGTGTCTATTAAGGTGGGCGATCATCACCTCCGCACAATAAGGTGAGACGTTGATGCCTGTGTGTCGTGTGGGAGAGGGGGTGACACACAGCCAGGAGCTCTACTGACGAACGTGCCCCGGCCCAGCCTCTCCTGCAGCGCGTTGCTTATTGTCCACAGCTGCCCTAGTGCGCCCCCTGCAGGTCAGACCGCTTCAGTCGGCACTGGGGGAGGCGTTTGAGTGAGACAGACGGACACAGACGGACACAGACACACAGACACGCCTGTAGCTCTATTTGCCTTTATTGACTGCAGGTTGTGTACACGGAGAGCACGCGTGTTTCAAGCATGTTTCTACAGGCGTGTGGTCTCCGGCTGCGGCCCAGAGCCAGAGGCCAGCGACCAGCAGGTCCAGAGCAGGCCAGACCGGATCCGCGGCTGCTGGTGGTTCTGTCTGGGGGCTGTGGCGGCGGGGACGTCAGAACCGGTCCCGGGAGCCGGATCGCAGTGCGGCCCGCTCCAGCCCGCTCCAGCCCGCTCCAGCCCGCTCCAGCCTGCTCCAGCCTGGTCCTGCCCGGTCCGCTGGGGACGCTGGCACCGGGCCCGGGGACCTGCAGCCTTCCCGCAGTGAGCCTGCGCTGCCGATACATGTGAGTAGGTGAGGGTTATACAGGTACAGGGGTGATATGGGCACTACACTGTGCCGAGCAGGGGCTGCTCACGGCCAGCGGGCCGCTGCCTTATCGGGGCTGAGCTCCCCGGCCACGCCTCCCACTCTGGGCCGGACCCCCAAAGTATCGCTCGTAGGCCTGCTGGTATCCGTGGTACATAGCGTAGCGCTTGCACTGCAAAGAGTCCTCACAGATCTCTGTGCGTATCTCCACAGGGGACTTCAGAATCCTGAGACAGAGAGAGAGGGGTTAACACACACACTCCTCCTGCACACTACTGTACACTGACACTGCACTGAGAGAGAGAGGGGTTAATACACACACTCCTCCTGCACACTACTGTACACTGACACTGCACTGAGAGAGAGAGGGGGGTTAATACACACACTCCTACTGTACACTACTGGATACTACTGCACACTACACTGCACTGGGAATAATTTTACCTCCTGGGGTAGTAGCTGCCTGGTTGCACAGGTCTCATGTAGGAATTGGCTCGACGTGAACCGATGAAGATGTCTTTAAAGACACAGAGAGGAAACGTTCATCATGTTTGTTTTGACATCTAGTACAGAGTCAGAGTGAGCACACTGAGAGAGCTGTATTTCTTTCTGTGCCAGTGGAACAGAAAGACAGAGGTACAGGTACAGAGAGAGGAGTTAAGGAGGTAGGAGAGAGAGAGGTACAGAGAGAGGAGTTAAGGACGTAGGAGAGAGAGACAGGTACAGTGAGAGAGAGGGGGGTTGAGGTACGAGAGAGAGACAGGTACAGTGAGAGATAGGTGAGTTATGAGGTAGGAGAGAGAGATAGGTACAGTGACAGAGAGGAGTTAAGGAGGTAGGAGAGAGAGACAGGTACAGTGAGAGAGAGGGGAGGTATGAGGTGGGAGAGAGAGACAGGTACAGTGACAGAGAGGGGGGTTATGAGGTAGGAGAGAGAGACAGGTACAGTGAGAGAGAGGAGTGATGAGGTAGGAGAGAGAGACAGGTACAGTGACAGAGAGGGGGGTTATGAGGTAGGAGAGAGA